GGAGACTCAGCTGGTTTCAGCCCCAGAAGGATGTCAATGAGAAGTCTTACAAAATGAAGGCCTCTACCAGGGAATGTGCCCTTTTCCAGGATTCAGAAAAACCATTCAATGAAATTAACATAGTTCTGGCTACTGCTCAAATCATTTTAATGGCTCTTGTGGTTGCACTATAACTTCAAGAATTAAATTTACTTAAGAAATCAAAAGGTGACTGAACTGCCTGTAAAAATGTTTCTGTCTGGGGTAGGTGTTTCACTGCCTGTGATACCTACATCCCATATCCCCATATCAGATTAACTGGTTTGAGCATCAGCCCTTCTACTTACAATACAGATTCCTATTACTGTGCACCCTGGGAGGCAGCAGGTGATTACTCAAGTACTTGAGTCCCTGACACACACATGAGAGACTTGGATTGAGTTCTAGGTTCCTGCCTTTGGCCTGGCCCAGCCAGCCCTGATGGTTGCATGCATTGGAGGAGTGAAACAACAGATGGAAGACATCCTTATCCTTCTGCCTTTCAAATAAAATGATTAGCATTATCATCAGGATTTCTACAATGGGAGAATAAAACAAAATTCAGTCGTATGAATTTATTATGCTAAAGTATATCAAAAAAGTTTAGGAGACAAACTAAGATTGCACTCTGTATGTTCTTCCAAAGTGGAAGGAAAATGGCATGCTAAACATCTGCCTGGACACAAAAAACAGGACAAAGAAAATAAGCTCATTCTTAATTGCTCTCTGGGATGGTGCTACTGCAAAGGAATTAAATATAGAAGCCATTATCAAATCTGTCACAGGAGCTCATAGAAATCACAGGCGAGGTCAGGAATAGACAGCAAACTGCAGCACTTGCAAGAGTGGCCCCATCAAGGAAAACATTTGGATGCTCTCAAAGCTTCCAGTAAAATCTGTAAGAAGAGTGACTTGACTCATTCCTTAGAGATTAGGCAGTGCTAGCAAGACATTCTAGAGCAATTAGGCAAATTGCAGAGAAGCCTTGGAGGGCATCCTTGAATTCTTGATCCCATTGTAAGGCAAGTTTGAAGGTGATTTAGGTAAGAAGGTAGATATATTTTCTGCCTTGAGTGATTTCACTTTGTCTATTTATCTCGATAGATATAATTTTATTTACTTGAGGGAGAGGGAGAGGGAGAGGGAGAGGGAGAGGGAGAGGGAGAGGGAGAGGGAGAGGCAAAGGGAGAGGGAGAGGGAGAGGGAGAGGGAGAGGGAGAGGGAGCTCCCCTCTGTTGGTTTACTCTTTAAATGTCCACTATGGCTAGGGTGCCAAAGCTGGGAGCTTGGAACTCAATCCCAGTCTCCCAAGTAGGTGTCAAGAACCTAACCACTTGACCTGCTGCCCCCTAGGGTCTATACCAGCAGAAAGCTGAACTCAGAAGCTCTAGCCAGGAATCAAACCCATTTACTTTGATGTGGAACATGGCCATCTTAGCTGCTAAGAAAAACATGCGCCTCTCTATTGATATTTTTTGGAACACAAAAATTATTTTTGTTAGAGTGTTGTATTATGGGATGTTTAGTAGCATGCCATGCTTCTACCCACTAATGCAAGTAGCAATCCCCCAAATACGACAGCAAGCCATGTCTGCACTTTGACAAATGCGCCCTTAGTAGAGTTAGGGCAAAATTACTCCCAGTTGAAAACCATTGCTTTGAGGGTATTTGCTGAGGAAATTTGTGGGATTTAAGACTTTGGTGTAATGGACAACCAAAGAGACACTACCAAACTCATCAGATCTGGTTCTAGTCTAGATGCTATTTGAACAACAGAATGCCTCACAGGTCGATTTTTGATCAGTGAGATAAAATTGGATAGAATTCATTGAACAATTGGTATGTTTGACAGACTTGGAATTCACTGACTTTGTATTTCTCATGGCCAATTATCATAAGATAAATATCAAGAGAACTAGATTATACTAGAAAAATAACTGCCTAGGCCCATATACAAAGGCTTAAAAAAATGAAATAGAACAATGTGTCAATAATACAGAAGTAAAAGAAGAGGCCAAATTAAGCAAAGTTAAACTTTACCTAGGTATCTCTCTAAGAGACATGGAGTAATTTACATACATAGAACACTAAAGGCGTTTCTTTGGTCGTGCATGGATAAAATGTTGAAGAAAGAAAAAGCCCTGCTGTTTTTAAGGAGGCACAAATTGTTTAAGGCCTAGGACATACAAATTCTGTGGAAAGCAACAGTGCTGGGCAAGATGTCAAGGCAGACAGATCCATACTGTCAAGTTCCTATGTCTCTGACAGCAGCAGCAGCACCCACTGCCTCCATTACAATCTAATGATGATTCCCCAGGACAGGTGACATGACTGGAGGAGAACTTCTCTAAGAGGCAGGTGCAGAGATTTCAAGCAAGAAGTGTTAGCAGGAGGTTTTGATACTAACTACTTGCTCATCAGAGAAAATGAAGATTATGCCACTCTAAAAATCTCAGCATTAACTCAAGGTTTGCATGCTGGAAAGTCAAAACTGCCACAAGGAATGAATAGGTTTGAAGATGGTGGATGTGAATAAGACATATCTTAAACAAGACCTGGTGACTGGCAGGAATAACATTCTCAATTTGCAGTGGTGTAGAATGGCAGGAAAGCCTCAACTGCATCTTGGGTGAGAAAGTATTGGTTGGAAGAGTTCTCAGAAATGAGTTTAAGTTCAAAAGTGATGCTTTCAGATGATTAGCACAGAATGAGTATTATCATGGCTAATCTAAAACATGATTTGCACTCAGTTGAATACAAACAGTCTTTTGGGAGTTGCTTGGTGACCATCATAAGTTCCAGGTATGGACAATGCATGCTTTTGCCTGGAATAACTATTTTTGGGCCAAGGATTAGCTTATTTTGAATTTTTAGTAAGGGGCTGGGGTTGAAATAATCTTGTGCAACTTTTCAACTTTTACAATTCTTTAAAAAGTAGGATTCTGAGAGACAGACTGGATACTGAAATAATTTAACTTCAAAGGGACTGAAAGAATTATATCCATGTCAATAAAAAACAGCAGTGATTCTGCTAATGAAAAAAACCCTAACCAGGACCGGCATTGTGGTGCAGTGTGTTAAGCCACTGCTTGTGATGTCAGCATCCATACTGGAACACTGGTTTAACTCCTAGGTTTCTGCTAATTCCCTTGAGAAGACAGCAGAAATGGACCACTTATGCGAACTCAGGCAGGATAGAGTTTTTGGTTCTTAATTTTGTGGTGGTGTAGCCCTGGCTGTTGGGAGTATTTGGGGAATGAACCGGTAGGTAGAAGATTGATTCTCTCTCTCTCTTGCTCTCGTTCTAAGCTTTCAAATAAATCTTTAAAGAAAAACTCCAAAATGTCTAACCTAACCAGTCACCTGCATAAGATATCTCTCCTTAGAGGGTAGTGAAGTGCAGTTTTTGAACTTTGATTTCATTGTAACATTGGTAAAGGGAGGGTTTTATAGTGCTCACATCTTACTATTGAAGATATTTTTAAAAGCAGCTATGTAGACTCACTGCATAACTCCCCACAAGATATTTTTAGTTTCTGCTTTGATTTCATCTACTTGAGAGTCATTCTCGTTTCTTCTTTATTACAGTCCTTTTCTGTCTCCGCCATTTTTTCTAACTCAATAGGAGCTGCTGGTTCTGATCATTTTGTCTGATCTCCTCCCTTCTATTCTGGAGCCTTTCAAATGGGTTGTAATTTTTCTTGTTCTGGTCATCTCCATCAGTCCCCTCAATCCTATATAGATAGTCAGGTTTCTGGGGTTTCCAAGGTAGTGTCTGAGCAATTTTTATTCTTCTGGAATTGACAGCAAAATAGCATAAAATGGGGGTGCTTTTTCTTAGATACGGGAGGGGATGGGAGTGAGAATTAGACTTCACTCAGCTCAGAATCTTCTCCTTCCTTCAGGACTGTGGCAGGGTCGGGGGTTCCAGCCACAGTGTCACTGAGTCCGTCATCAGGTCCTGTGAACCCATGGGCTTCCACCTAGGACCCTTCCTGTGACAACCATAAGGCTCTCCTGTGTTCTTGGCTCTTTCCCTTGGAGGACACCCCAGACACTGAAGCCCAACATCTTTCTGTTCACTTAAGAAAGATAACATAGCCAGAGATTCCAGTCAAATTCTACCAGGATTACCCGGGTTCACCCAAGGAAAGCTTTGAGGGAAAGAAATCTGGAACTTTGCTTCAATAAATTTATCTACCGAAATCCTACCCCGACCATTATACTCTCTCTCTCGGAAATGTAAAATCTTCTAGCTCTAATTTCCATTAAGAATATTGATCTTTAATAGATGTCTTAGAATTAAGAAACTAGTGGTCTTAGAAATAAATGTTTTAAAATTCCATTCAGTAAGGCTGGCACTGTGGCTCACTTGGCTAATCCTCGACCTGTGGCGCTAGCAACCTGGGTTCTAGTCCCATTTGGGGTGCCAGATTCTGTCCCGGTTGCTCCTCTTCCAATCCAGCTCTCTACTATGGCCCGAGAAGGCAGAGGAGGATGGCCCAAGTGCTTGGGCCCTGCATCCGCATGGGAGACCAGGAGGAAGCACCTGGCTCCTGACTTTGGATCGGCACTCCCATTTGGGGAGTGAACCAACAGAAAAAGGAAGACCTTTCTCTCTGTCTCTCTCTAACTCTCCTGTCAAAAAACATTCCATTCAAGAATATGTTTTCCTTTTTTAAAACAATGAATCCAACTGTTTTTGGTATTTTGGTATCTATGGTAGTTATGGTAGTTACAGATCTATTTGCAAAGTCTCAAATAACTTTTGATGAAATTAGCATTCCCGTATCCTCCAGTATTAAACTATTCAACAAATATGTATCAAGTGACTTCAATTTGCCAGACTTTGTTCTAGATTCTGGGGATTCAGCTAGGAACAGAGTTGACCAAAACGCCAGTTATGTTGGGTCATACTTTCCTGTTAAGTGCAATTTCTTAAAACAATAGGACCCCCTAAATAACAAGATATCTTTACTAACCTCACATGGAATTTCAGTGGGGATCACCATCACCAGTGGCATGATGCTTCTGGAAGCTTCTGGTAAGACATCAATTTCCTTTCTCTGGCTTATTTTCCCAGGATAGTTAACTCTTAGGTCTGCTGGAATATTTAACTCAAGGTAGTCTTCATGACCTAGAGAAAATTCAATGAATATATATATAATATAACTATAGCCATATATTTCCCTTATTTCTGTGAAAATTGTTGACCATTAATTTCATCAATATATGGGAAGTCTGACTGTAAGCCAGCTGAAATAATTGAAACAATGTTATGATTTAAAAAATGCTTCACAAGATAACTGGCAGTATTACCTTTTTGAGGAAACTACAATCAGCTGTATATTATATTCAACTAAATGTTTTCCAAAAAACAAAAAGTCCATCTACCATTTATAATTTCTCTTAAAATTAAAACAGCAAATCTGAAAAATATTAGACATTTCTTTTTCATGATGGTTATGAAGAAAATGCATTTTAATTTACATCAGAACAATTTTCACCATTTGCATATGTTTGTGTTTTTTTAAAGATTTATTTATTCGAAAGTCAGAGTTACACAAAAAGAAGAGAGATAGAGAGAGAGAGGTCTTCTATCCGATGGTTCACTCCCCAATTGGCCGCAATGGCCGGAACTGCACCAACCCGAAGCCAGGAGCCTCTTCCAGGTCTCCCACAGGGGTGTAGGGGCCCAAAGACTTGGGCCATCCTCCACTGTTTTCCCAGGCCATAGCAGAGAGCTAGATGAAAGTGGAGCAGCCAGGTCTTGGACTGGTGCCCATATGGGATGCCGGCACCTCTGGCCAGGTTGTCAACCTGCTAAGCCACAGCGGCGCCAGCCCTTTCTGTGATTTTTAAAAATAAAATGTATAACTAGGAGACAACCACTAACATGTTTTTATGAAATACTCATTTCATAGTGAAATTAGTGATTAGCAAAATGTTAATGTGTTCTGTGAAAAGGAACATGTTCTATATCAAATAAGTTGTGTTTTCTTACAGTAGTTTTGCTAACAACATTGACATACTAATATGAATTTTTAACATCAAAGAAGGGGTACAGTATCCATTTTTAAAAGCACATTTTAACATTTAGAAATTTAGCATTTAGTTTCAACCAAACATTGTTCTTCATTGAAACAAATATATTAAGAAATAGACAATTATTATTACCCAATGTCTCAAAGCCCAAAGTATTTCATTGGTACATAGAATCAATTTGACTGAAATCAAGACTCTCAAAGCAGCAAGGTCATATCTGCAAGCTTTTAGCCCACATTGAAATACCCCTCAAATCTCCAAAGTAGAAAACTGGAAAAATGAAAATAAGTTCCTGACAGCTGGAAACTGTCCCAGGGCTTTGAGGAGACAAAGAGCTCTGTGAAGGCGGCCTGGCCCCCACAGGTAGACCTGGGACTTCTCTGACTGAGCATCAATATCTTCATAAAACATCATCAGGCAAGGTCACTGTCACCAATGGGTCCAGACAAACACAAAACACAAGAAATGAACATTTCTCAAATCCATGAATGGCCATATAGCGCGAGTCCTAACCAGTATGAATGACTGTTCTTTACCAAGACTATTTTAATTTCTCCTGCCTCCTAGATAGGTCACACATTCATTTTGCCTAGGATTTACCTCATTTGGGCAGAGAAAATGCCGTGTTCTAGAAACTCTTTCCATTCCATGATAACTAGAATAGCATGTCCCACTTCTAAATAGTCATTAACATATCATGACTACATCATATTATCAATTTGTCCCTGCTTCTTGACAGGAAGCAAACTCTAGGCAAACTCTGCTTCCTTGAACCTTCCCTCAACTTACTTAAAACAAGCCTATGGTCCTGCAAAGTCTTTTTAAATACCTTCTTACTAAGATACTCTATGGTTCTCCATTGTATATGTCCTCTTCACTGCAACAAGAAAAAACCCGAAGAGTTCAAGTGCAGATATGTTCCTGGTGGTCTTTGTGTATAGGGCATTGATAGAATAAATAGGAAGATGACTCAAAGGCAGTACAGTTAGATGTAGCTAGAATTTTGACCTCATTCTACCCAAAACAGTAAAGACCCAGTTCCACAAAGGTAAGTTTATCAGAAAAACAGTAACAAAAGGTGTTCCTTAGAGAGGAACTGTCTCTCTGCATCTAAAAAAGGCAGACTTTTTTGTTATTGTTTTTTGGTTTCTGTTTTATGGAAATTGAAGAATTAAGGCACAACCACACCTGGGATTTCCACACTTCTCTCAGCACTAGTCTTGTTTGAAATGAAATGACAAACAGCCTTTATTTTTCTGACAATTGGAGGCACTTTCATAAGCAGTCTCATTTTCTTCTCTGTTGGTGCACATACACACACACACTCAAAAACACACAAATCAACATAGTGTAAAACTTGTATAAAACTAGCTCATGCATTTTGTGAACTGATTTTATTTAATACACATTACAGGAAGGAGGTTTAAGTCAATCCACCATGGCAGTATCTAGATTCTAATAATTTCTCTGTGATATTAGGAAGACCTATTTTTATTTACCCTGGGGACATAATTACACATGTACAAAAAGATTTATCTCTATGAATGTTCACACAGCACAGTTTAAAATTCAGAAAAATGCAAGCAATGTAAGCAACAAGGGACTAGATTAATAACATGTTTTATGATAAAAAGATACTGCCAGTAATAAAATTCTACTAAAGATATTTAACAACATGGAACAAGTACATAATATAACTAAAAAAGTTCAAGTCACAAAATCGTCAATTAGTAAATTCTCACTTAAGTAAGATTAAAAAAAAAAACACACATACAAAGGATTATATGGTAAGAATTCAAGATATACTCTTGAATAAGAATAATCTGTCCAGGGCTCGCATTGTGGCATAGCAGGTTAACCTACCACCTACAATGATGGCATTCCACATGGGTGCCAACTCAAGTCCCAGCTGCTCCACTTCTGATCCAGCTCCATGCTAATGCATGTGGGAAGGAAGCAGAAGATGCCCCAAATCCTTGGGCTCCTATACCAACATAGGACAGCTGGATGAATCTCATGACTCAGGCTTCAGTGTGGCCCAGCTCTGGCCATTCAGGCCATTTGAGGAACAAACCACTGGATGAAAGCTCTCTGTCTCTGTTTCTCCTCTGTCTGTAACTCTGCCTTTCAATTAAGTAAATAAATCTTTAAAATAATAAAGAATAAGATGTCTATATATAGCAAAAATATCAAAAGGGTTATTTCTGGTTAGTGAGTTCAGGGAAATTTCATTATATATGCATATGTACATAAAATATTAATAATAAAATACCATGTCATATAAAAGCATGGTTTTTCTACAATGAGAATGTATTTTTTTACACATTAAACTATATACATTTCAAGCAGAGGAATGAGTTAAGATTGTAGACTGAGCACACTATCTACCTTCTCTACAACAAGTAAATAAAATAAATAGAAAAGATTATTTAAAAAATATATTAGAATACTACAAATTGATAAATGACTCAATTACATAAGACAAAACTTAAAGATTTCCATAAATCTAAAAATGAATCTGGAATTAAATGAAAGAGTGAAAGCAAATCTCTGTTCAAGTGTCTCTAAAAGCCTAGGCAAGATATCACTGGGACCCAATCTTAATCGTAATCCAAGGTTTCCTTCCCCTTCCCCTAGGATGGCCAAAAGAATTCACTGAATTGTGGCAGTGGTACAACTGGCCCTGGGGGATTCTAATTACTAGGCTCAATAAATTATTTTCTTCTTCAATAACTAAAAATTTGTGGGCCAATATTGACTAGAGGGGTTTGTTTAGGATAATTCCCAGTCTAGACAGAGAAATTCCCAGCCTGGGGCAGAATGTAATTAATACCTACATGTAACCCCCCAGACCGCTGAAGCCCACTGACCAATCAGGGACACAGATACAAACAGAACATGTACCTTTCCCTAATTTCAATCTAGAAGAACCTCTGCCCCTGAATTCCCAAAGAGCCTGGGAATTAAGAAATAGCTGCTCAGCCCTTTGCAAATAAATACCTACTTTCTTCCACCACCCCATGTCAGTGATTGGCTGTCTGTGGTTACATGAGCGGACCCAAGTTTGGGGGGTTCTATAGCAATACCTCCAACTAGTTTTGGGGGGTTGTTCTGCAATTAAAGAAAAAGCAGAGCCTAAAACATGTTTGGAAAATGTAACATCAAACACAAGGTTGGTTTTCCAACACTAATTTCCAAATCTTAAGAAACTCCAAATCAAAATTCAAAGAGCAGAAAGTGTTCCTAAGACAAAATTAGTGTTAATCAGTTGAAATTTCATTAATAAAACTGAAATAATTGGAATTTCCTCAGCTGCTACTTCTGCTGAGCAAAAAGCAGCTTGCTCTTGCCCTAAGATAAGAGCTCCAGACTCCAAACACGACAAGATGGTACTGGGTCTGCCTAAGGCAACAGCACGAGGCCAGATGTGTTTCCTAACTTTCTGAAAGACAACATCCCCTTTCCTCCCACCTTTTCCAGCCTCCGGTAACCACTGTTCTATTCTCTACTTGTATGAGATCATTTTTTTTCAAGATTTATTTATTTGAAAGACAGAGATAGATAGAGATAGAGATGGAGACGGAGACGGAGACGGAGATGGAGACAGAGGGAGAGGGAGAGGGAGAGGGAGAGGGAGAGGGGGAGGGGGAGGGGGAGAGAGAGAGAGAGAGAGAGAGAGAGGTCTTGCATTCAGCTGGTTCACTGCCCAAATGACCACAATGGTCAGGGCTGAGCTGATCCAAAGCCAGGAGCCAGGAGCTTCTGCCCTGTCTACCATGCAGGTGCAGGGACCTATGGAGTTGGGCCATCTTCTGCTTTCCCAGGCTATAGCAGAGAGCTGGATCAGAAGAGGAGCAGCCGGGACTTGAACCGGTGTCCATATGGGATGCTGGAGCTGCAGACTGGGGCTTTAACCCACTGTGCCACAGTGCCAGCCCCTGAGATCAATTTTTAAAATATAATTTCATATAAATTTAAGATTTTTATATTTTGTGTTTAATTCTTAATCAATTGGTTAAATCCACATTTAACAAAAGGGCAGATTTCCTGATATTTGATAAAACTAGGGAAAGATTGGAAAAATTGGAATAT